ACTTAGAGTAGTCAGATTAATAGAAACAGAAAATAGAATGGTGGTTGCCAGGGCCTGGGGAGAGGGGGTGATGGGGAGTTGTTTAATGGGACAGAGCTTCAGTTTTGCAAGATGAAGAATTCTGGGGATTGCTTATACAACAATGTGAATGTAATATTACTGTGAACTGTACACATAAAAATGGTTACGATGGTAAACTTGATGTGTATTTTACCACAACTGAAAATTTTTTTAAATAAAATAACTAGAAGATATTAGAAAACTCTAGCAGAGAGAGCTCCCAGCCCAGAGTGAGCTAGCCTGAAAGCTCTGGAAGGAGATTTGAGAATGCAACAGGAGAGAGGGCTCGTGTTTTCAACTGGGGGAGGTGGGGAATATAAAAAAAAAAAAAGCAGAATTTTTGTAGGAAAATAGTGCAAGAAGAAAAGACAAACAGCTAGGGCTTTAGGAAAAAGAATTAGATGAAAAGTACAATATAATCACAGTTTACTACTTAGCTCTGCAGCAAATGTTTACGTATTCTTTATAAAGCAAATGCCATTTATCAATTGAACTAAAAGTAGTGATAGGATGGAATATGGTGGTACTGTAAGAACCAAATTCATATCTATCCCTATAAGAATTAAATTGTTAATATCTCATGGCCAACAGGCACATGAAAAGATGTTCAACATTGTTAACTATTAGGGAAATGCAAATCAAAACTATCATGAAAGATCACCTCACTCCCGTCAGGATGGCTATAATTAACAAGACAGGAAACAATATGTTTTGGAGAGGATGTGGAGAGAAGGGAACTCTCATATACTGCTGGTGGGAGTGCAAACTGGTGCAGCCACTATGGAAAACAGTATGGAGTTTCCTCAGAAAATTAAGAATAGATCTACCATATGATCCAGCTGTTCCACTGCTGAGTGTTTATCCAAAGAACTTGAAAACACAAATGCATAAAGATACTTGCATCCCTATGTTCATTGCAGCATTATTCACAGTAGCCAAGACTTGGAAGAACCGAGGTGCCCATCAAAGGACGAATGGATAAAGATGTGGTCTGTATACACAATGCAGTACTACTCAGTCATAAGAAATGATGAAATCCGGCCATTTGCGACAACATGGGTGGATCTTGAGGGTATTATGCTAAGTGAAATAAGGCAGGGAGAAAGTCAAATACCATATGATCTCACTCGTAAGTAGAAGATAAAAACAACGACAAACAAATGCATAGCAACAAAGATTGAATTAGTGGTTACCAGAGGGGAAGCGGGGAGGGAGGAGGGCAAAAGGGATGATGAGGTGCATGTGTGTGGTGATGGATTGTAATTAGTCTTTGGGTGCTGAGCATGATGTAATCTATACAGAATTCAAAATATATTACCATGTACAGCTGAAATTTATATATTGTTATAAACCAATGTTACTGCAATAAAAAAAAAAAAAGTTTAATAATGAGCCTTCTGGAAATTCCCCCAAGTATGTTTTACTTGAGCTACCAAATATTCTAATAAATATTATTCTTTAGGCAATGTGTAAAAAATTTTTTTAATATCTCAAATTGATAAGTCAGGAAATAGCAATCCAAGCATATTATTTAGAGATGTGGAGGTACTTCTCCTCCCCATATATATATTAGAGTATATAATTAAGTGAAAAGAGAATACTGTAGAAGAGAGTGAATAGTATGCTTTGTTACTTTTTTAAAAAAAGATAAGTGTAGAGTCACATAGAGAATGTTCTTAAAGATGTCTAAGAGGGCCAGCCCTGGTGGCCTAGTGGTTAAGTTCAGCATGCTCTGCTTCAGCGGCCTGAGTGCAGACCTACACCACTTGTCTGTCAGTGGCCATGCTGTGGCAGTGGCTCACATACAAAAAGAAGATTGACAACAGATGTTAGCTCAGAGTGACTCTTCCTCAGCGAAAAAAGAAGAGATATCCAAGAAACTTAACGTGTTACCTCCAAGGAGAGGGCTTGTGGGCACTGGAAAAAAAGTCATCTTACTTTTTGTTATGTATCTTTTGTACTGTTTATGTTTTTTTCCATGAGCATGTGTTACTATATAAAGTAAAAATGTGGTTCAGTGTTGATTTTTAAAAAGAAGAATGGCAGAAATTGTACACTGAGAGTTAGTGGTAGAAGAAATTGCTGTTACGGAAAAGTTAGATAAAATTTTATTAAAGAGCATACATTTGAATTGTGCTTTGTCATATAAACACGATCAGACAGGAAAGTGTAAGATATCTCGTGGCTATATGGGTGCTTTATTTACAACATTTTATTTTACTGTTACAATAAAGCCTGAACTGTACTGCTAGGCAAATAGCTGGCTGTAAGTAATTTAATTCTCAGAGTAATAGAATTAAGCAAAAATCATTTTTATTGCATCTTCTATTGAGTGCCTTTTAAAAATGCAGACATACTTGCTGACTTTCTTAAGTGTACTATCTGAAGATAATGTAAGGCTTTCATTGTGCTATTGATCAAGAACGTCTAACAGTAGGGGGCCACCACTGTGTTCCTGGTGTATTTGTGCACTTCTGCCGAGGATGTGTGCCAGCAGCATGGTGATTGTGGCACCAGCTTGTCAGCCACAGGGCTCGTCTGCACCTTGTCAGAATCTTTAAATGCAGATTTCCCAGTGTCTATGCACCTTTCAACGTAAAAATATTCCTGGAAAGCATCATCTAAGATAATGAAAAATAGCCATTTCCCAAACTTTATAAATGTACTGACCTTCTTTAAAACCAGGTTCTCAACTTTGGCTGAACATTGGAGTCATCTGGAAGCTTTAAAAACTTCTGATGTCTGAGTTTCCAGAGATTTCACTGAAAAGGATTGCAGCCTTGGCGCTGGCAGTTTTTAAAGTGTCCCAGGTAATTCTGATAAGCAGCCAAGATTGAGAACTACTGTTTTAAAGGAAGAATATTCTCTACGTACCCCATGACACCGTGTTGATTTAAATTATTTTTATGCTGGGGGGCCGGCCCGGTGGCGCAGTGGTTACATTTGCATGTTCTGCTTCTCGGCTGCCCGGGGTTTGCCAGTTCAGATCCCGGGTGCAGATATGGCACTGCTTGGCAAAAGCCATGCTGTGGTAGGCGTCCCATATATAAAGTAGAGGAAGATGGGCATGGATATTAGCTCAGGGCCAGTCTTCCTCAGCCAAAAGAGGAGGATTGGCAGCAGTTAGCTCAGGGCTAATGTTCCTCAAAAAAAAAAAAATTAATTTTTATGATGGTAGTATTTAAATATGTACAAACTGACCATAGCGTGAAATTCCTTTTGCATGCAGTTGTATATAAAACATATTTACAAATTAAAATCAAACTCCAAAATTACTAATTCAAAAACAGCATTACTGGATGGATGGTGATGTTTTGGTGAGGCTTTTCTGCCTGTTGTTCCTTCTGCTTAGTCTGTTAAATCCTCCATCCCACTTGTATCAGTCTGGGCCCAATCAGAAGATAGAAACCACGTGGTGATATAAACAGGGAAAGTTTATTATAAACGCTAATTAAATTCTGATAAAAGAGTATCTGTAGAAAACCGTATGGACCTAGGCTGAGAGAGAGTCCCCGAGGAAGGACTGACTGGAAGAGGGCTCCTCTCCTCAAGGTTGGGGTTCAGACTCAGTGAAGAAAGTGTTGTTGCAGCCCACTGGATGGCAGAACAACTCCCTGGTTTGCCCAGGTCAGCTGGTCTGCAGTTGCTAGGCAGCAGGAAGACTCCTCCAGAGCATGGCCCAGCCCAGGAAAGCCGCAGCCAGTAGCCAGTCACGTGGGCACACAGAAGGTGGAGCCCTGGTGGCAGCCCTCCTGGTGGCAAGCTGCAGCTGATGGCCAGGCATGCAAGTGTGCAGAGAAGTGGGGCTATCAGTGCAGTAGCGTGGAGCACACAGCGTCCCGGTCAGGAGGGCCGTGTCATTGGGAGAACCATGAGAGACTAGTGCGAAGGGGGGGCAAGAGGCAGGCCTGGAGCACAGTGTCTGTGTTGAAAGGGTCATAGGTGATGACACTAGACCTTGCCAGAGCTGCAGTGTTGCTGAGGGGCCGCCCTTTCTGGGCCCGTGACTGAGGTCCTCACTGATGTCGTCACAGCCACATGTTGACCCCACCCCACAGCAGCCATAAATAGTGGGAGAGTGCCTTTCTGCTACCCTGTCCCTCTAGGACCCTTTCCTGAGAAAGCTCTGCATCGTGCTCACTGGAAAGGAGAAATGCTTGAAGGAGGTCTGTACGTTATTGTAGAGCAGGTGTTAAAGAGTGAATTTGAAGCTGACAGGCAATGGGTTGATAACTGACATGCCACCCCGTGCCAGCCGACACTTTTGCAGCAGTTCCGCCTGACTCAGAGGCTGCCCGCCTCTTCCAAGTGGAGCTGCTCTGTGCTGTGTTCCGGTCTGGCCTTAGAGTAGCGCACCATGCTCTGTAGGAATCTCTGTTTAAAAGCTATTGGTTTTTCAAACAATCACGTAATTATAGTGTGCATAAGAATCACCTCCAAAGATTCTAATTTGGTTGGGTGTGGGTGGAACCCAGGAATCTATATTTTTGATAGGCACCCCCAGTGATTCTGAGGATTGTGGTCCCTGTGGCAACACTGAGAAGTGCTGCTCTGGGGCTGGACTGAGGGAACTGCATCTCACTCTGTTTTCTACTCTTATGTCCTAATACATCGTCTAATAGAAGGTTGGTGCTCAGCACGTGTGGACCGAACAAAGGTCCAACTGAACCTAAAGAAATCGGGGCCGCTTGCTGTGGTCCTGGAGAGATGTGGCCCGTGGTGGGGCGAATGTCTGTCCTAACACCTCTGTTCTGAAGTGTCCTTCTTTGTGCCTGTGTGAAACTTTGACTTAAAATTTTCTGCAGCTAATGCTCTTTCGTTTTTTGATTTAAAATGGACATTATACTAATACTACTTTTCTTTATATTTAATAGGGAGAAAGAACAAGAAACACAAAAAGAGGAACGTTTGATGGAAGAAAAGAAAAAGAAAAAGCAGGAAGAAAAGAAAAAGAAGGAAGGTGCTCAGAAAAAGGTTTGGCTAGAGTTACTATGTCATTGTCTTTATAATCATTATGTGTCTCATTTGCATCATCATAGCCATTACATTACAAAGTTTTGTTTTATTGCTTTTAAAAATCAATATGCTAAATCTATAATCAGCAAAAAATAGATATTGTACTGGTGAAATAAATACAGGGTGACAGCCACAAGATGTCTTTCTCAAGGAACTGGAAATGTTAGAGCCGTGTTTTAAAGAAGTTTGATTTTAGTTGGTGGTGGTAAAGAATGTCCATGCTGTTCTACTTAAAATGAATTGTTCAGAACAACCATGTGTAAGAAGTGAGGAAAGGACCACTTAACTGATTTTATTAGAAAAGCTGGAAATAATTTTTGCAGCTTTGGCAAATTTTCTTTTATAAATCCTGTCGGTAAATATGAAAACGTTAAGTCCTACTGTAAGTCTTATAGTCATGCTTGGACTTGGTGGCATTTAATGTACCAACTTATGCCATTTGTTTTTGTTCTTGCCTAGTTTAATATATCTTGTAGTTTAAACTCTAATACCTTTTAGACTATAATAAAATATAGAGCTTAAATGAACTTCCACATAGATTTTTTTGCCTTTAGATCAATAATGTCATATAATCGATAGCATGTAGACAGTTGTACATTTTTCCCGGTAATGAATTTTAATAAAGTAACTGGGCAAAAATTTATTTTTAAAATTTTCAATATTAAAAGTCTGCTTATAAACTTTCATAGATGTGTACATTCTACACATTATTATTCCTAAAGAGTTTCTGATTTTTTTTTTCAGGCTGCTGATCAAAAAACCAAAGGTAAGTTTATTTTATGGGGGGGGTACATTTTATGGCAGTACCAAACTTTTTATGATGAAGATGACTTTTTAAAAAATTAATGTTAAAAACAAAGAATCCAACCCGCCTTGGAATTTACTTTTTATTATTCAGTGTGAAATTCTTCATTTATCACTGGTTTTACATCTGCATCTCATTGACACTTGCTTAGTCTGAAATGCCTAAAGAATGTTATATTAGCTTTCTAAACGATACTTTATAATTTTCCTTTGGTTTGATTTCCACTAAACAAGGATTAAACCGATGAAGTTGATCCAATTAATAAGAACAACCAAAAGATACTGAATTTTTTAAAAACTTCCAATTTGTCTTTGCCAACTATTTATAATAAAAAGAAGTATATTCTTTCTGTATTCCCTCTTTGCTTTTTAACGTGTAAGAGATTTCTTTTTTATTCTCCAAGTCCAGAATTTGCTTATTATTGACTTAATGGGTGTTGGTGGAAACACATGTAGTTCTCACGGTAACTTAGGCATGCCTTTGATTTGCTGGCGAATGAACAAAATGGAAGCAGCACTCCGAGCCTCTTCATTTTATGCTTACATGGTTGGGGCTGTTCGGTGGTGAAGAGCACACACTCAGGAGTCGCGTACACCAGCTCTCTTTGATTTGGGGCAAGTTACTTCGCTTCTTTAGGCCTCAGGTATCTCGTATTTAAAATGAGGGAGGGAATGAATGAATGGTTCCCACCTCATGAGCTGTTGTGAAGACTCAGCGAGATCATGCATGAAAAGGGCTCAGTGCCTTGGTGCTCAGTAGACGTTGCCTATAATTAATTGTTATTATTTTTAAGTTTTTATTTCTGTTGGACCATCACATGTACACAAATTGTACATGCAGATGCATGCAATGTAAAGATTTCCGTGAGAGTGTTGTCTCAGGCAGCACCACGACTAATACTCTTACTTGACATTTTATAGTTTTCAAAGTAAAGTTTCTGTGTGTTATCTCCTTTGAACTTCATAACTGAGCAGGGCAGGTGTTAGTTTACAGTGAAGAAACTGAAGCCGGTCATATGAGCTGGGTGGCTCGCTCTCGGTCTAGCAGTTAGTGGTAAGGGTGGGACTTGAGGGAGCCCGGGCTCCTGACCCCCGTGCAGTAGGCCTCAGAGCCACTACACCAGAGTCACATGAAGGGATGAATTTTGTATGAAATGAATATTAAAAGGCAGCATAGTTTTCAGAAAGGACATTCTTCCCTCTTACTCTCTCAGAAGCAGTGTGCGTTTACATCAAACCTTCCAGAAGGGTTCAAAAGGTTGTGGTTGTAGTTGTATTTGAATTTATGACCTTGAATAAGAAACAATGGTTCCTTATAATTGTCCTTCAAAAGTACAGAATTATTGTTCTGACTCCTCTATTTCCTTTTTCATTTAACATTTTGAGGAGCTTTTACAACCTGATTCAATACCAGGTATATTCTGTTGTCATTGTAATTGTTTTCTCTTCAAATAGTAGCAAATTGCTTATGACTCTATAGAGATCATGAATTACATTGTCCTGACACCTTACGCGGAGTTACTATTTTCTGTTACTCTTCTGATGAGTATTTTCATTTCTGACTCCAAACTCTCCTGGGTTTTTATCTTCTTTTATCTTCTCTAAAATCCTACTCCTTTGGGTACAATTTGTCAGTGACTGTACTGACTATAACTAGCCTCAGAACAGATCATAATGATGACTGTTAATGTCCTCTAAACAAAAAAATGCTTTCTGAATTAGAATCTCACAGTGTTGCTAGATAATTCATTAGTGAATATTAGCAGCATCAAGGTTTAAATTTTTCTCAGACTCTCTATTATTACTGGTTACATCAAAATTAACTGCCTGCAAGACGGTGGTTCTCCGTTTCTGGGTGGACACGTGTTTTACGTAACACAGGCTGGCCTGAACGTGTGAGATATATTGTAGGAGCAGCATTAGTGCTCACATGCAACATAGATTTACTTTTCCAACGCTCTGTGTTTTAATTATGTGCCCTGCCCTAGTCTGCTAGGGGCTCCCTTGGCCTTGCTCACCCATACAGCCCCCGCTCCCAGCCCTGTGTGCAGGGTCGGAGCCTGAGTCAGCGCCCTCACTTAGAGACTGCTTTCCTGCCAGACCCTGGCCTCAGCCTGTACATCTGTTACTTCTAATTGTTGGTGCCGTTGTCTCCAGTGTACACACGAGTAAGCTGAAGCTGTGCAAGTTTGTTGAGTGCCCCCAAGGCTACACAGCTGGGGAGTAGCAGGCTGATGTGCTCGGAACCTTTCTGCACTTACAGTGCCAGGAGAGTCACACAGTAGACCTTTATCAAGCATCGCTGTGTCTCAGTGCCTACCGTGTTTCAGAACAGAACAGGGGATTTTCAGAGAGGTGTGCTAACTTAGACAAGGTCACAGAGCTAGTGAGAGTGGCAGAACTTGGTTCAACCTTGCCTCTGACTCCAGAGCCGGGTCATGCTTCCTGGCCAGATGTGACAACCCACTCCACAATCAACAGGAGCCGGAGAACCCTGCTCTCTAGGAAAGAGTTTAGCAATTTGAGTGAGTCAAGAGTTGAATACTCTCATGAGAGAGGCTACAGTCATAAATTAGATTATATAATATCACTGAGTCAATTAACATGGTAGAAAGAAGTTTGAATTGATTTTATTTTGATAATTAGCTCAAACTAGACCAAATCAATGAGTAATATACTTGCTCTGCAGTATTACACACTGCTCAATAGTGGTAGCATTAGTAAAGCAGTGCCTCCATTATTTAACATTATATTTGACTTAATCTCAGTACCTGAAACTTAGCCTCTTTAAATTTTGATTTACGTTTAACATTTTCAGAGAACTCTTTAGAATATACTGCATATACATATATATATTATACCTTTCTGCTTTCTCCTAGAGAGTAGCCTAATCCATTCTTGGTAGGTCAGTCTTCATTATAGCATTAATTATGCTTAAAAAGTTTTTTATAGCTGGCTATAACTGTTGAACTATGAATCTTCATTTAAAAGACTAATGCAGAACTGAATCTCGCTAGAAATTTGTCTTTTTTGATGAGCTTAGTCTAATATATGGCATGCTTCTCCTCTCCTCCTACCCCATCTGAAAACTAGGTTTCTAGAAAGTCTGCTTTACAAAATTTACAAATAAAATAAAATTTTGTTTCTGACTGTTTTTTAAAATCCTGACTTGTGATTTCTTGGTTGAGGTCATTTTCTTCTTGTTTTAAGATACAGGCCAAGTGACTAAGCTTTCTTGAAACACTGTGCTGCCGACATTTATGCCCTGCCCTGGTGTCAGGTGGGGACCACGCTTTCTCTGCAGCCAGGAGAGACACTCTGGTTCAGCTCTGAAGGTTTCCATTCAAGTAGTGGACTCGTTCTTGCCTTTCACCAGTTTCCTCCTCTTCCTGTCCCCCGACCATGCGGATCCTGCAATGGGCTTGAGCTCTGCCTCTGCCGGAGTCTGAACATGGGCATATGCCTGGAATCCTTCTCCTTCACTGCCTTCTGGTCTTGGGTAGTTGTTGTCACAGTCACCTCTTCCTTATTTTTCCTCTTACAATGAAAAAATATAATATGTTCTTATTGAAAATAGTTTGAGCATTGTCTAAAGAAAAGTTAAATTCACGTGAAATCTCTCCGTTCTGAGGTATCACCAGTAAACATTTTGTTGGCCATCCTTGACTGCATCTCTTTATGAGTATATACACATAAAGGTATATTTTATATGGCCTCTCTGCTGCTTCCCCAGTGAGTACTCCCCCGTCGGCTGCCCCTTGAGGAGCTGCACTAAGCACTTTGAAAACCTCTCTATGAGCCTATTTTCAAACAAAATAATACTTTGTAAATTCTGCTGAACATTGTCTTTGCCTTGGTGATGAAGAGCCAACTGAACACAGTTACCTGTGATGCCTTCAAGAGGCCCTGGATGCTCTCATAGTTGGGGAGGGGAGTCAGCCACGATCCTGCTATGGAACACCATTACCTTGTGTGTCGTCTCCCTGCGGTACAGTAACTAGTGTCTAAGTGCCGGACGCTTTACCAGGGGTTCTACTTCGGTAAGCAGTAATTTCTGTTCTTTATTTTGGGCGCTGCCCTTAATTTGGGCACAGATAATAATAGCTTTCTATGTGATGTGATGGCTTTATGAGCCTAAATTCTCTGTATTGTCTTCTGAGTTTTTTCATGGATTTAATGGATTTTTTTAAGATGAACTATTAATAATATTCATTAATGTGAAGTGAATTTAATTCACTGGTTTTAGCCAGATTTTTCTAAAGTTCATAAAATAGGAAGATACGTTTTCATACAAAAGACTCAAAGTTAATTATATCATATATGAAAGCAAATATCTTGATGACCCAATGTGGCTCAAACTCCATATGATTGATGATTTGTGGTTTTGAATGATATACTTTTATAAATTCATACATTTTAATTAGTCTCCTAATCTTGCCTGAAAGGATTATAAGTTTTGCAGTCAGATATTCAGCTTTGCCTTGCATTCAGTTTGTAATTGTTAATTTTAAGAAAACCTTTATGTGCTTTTGTTAATGTAAATAAATTGAAAGCATGTTCTTTCAGTAGCCTTACATTGAGTGATAAGGGTTTGGGGATCACAAATTATATACACTGTGCCATACTGTCATTAAGGCTCATTCTAAACATAGAGTTTCAAAGCGTTTTCTCAGCATGAATGAGAAGTAGTGAGAATTGAGTTTGAAAGCATACCCTCCCCATGTCAGAGTCAGAGAGAGGTAAAACAGACAGAATGGGAACCCGCAGTGCTGCACTTCTCTGGCTCCGTGGCACTTCTGTTCAGCTGAGGCAGCTGATTGCTGTTCATTCAGTCTTTCGGGGGTCTCAACACAGTAATCAACAGTTAGTCTTTATGAAGCATCAGATCTGTGGTTTCTTGAGTTACCTTGTGTAATAAAATTGGCCGGATTCCTTAAATGTATGAGTGTTCGTGTTCATATC